TTGAAGCAAATCTCAGACATAATTCTATCTGTATTTCAGTATATATAGATAAAAGATATTCTTTTAAAAAAATAATCACACTACCATTGTCACACATGGAAAATTAAGCAATATTTTCCTATGGATTAAACAAATTTTTAAAACATTTATTTATTTTAGAGAGAGAGAGAGTGAGACAGAGCAAGCAGGGGAGTGACAGAGAGAGAGGGAGACAGAATCTGAAGTAGGCTCCCTGCTCCAAGCTGTCAGCACAGAGCCCGACTCTGGGCCTGAACTCACAAACCGTGAGATCATGACCTGAGCCGAAGTCTGACGCTTAACTGACTGAGCCACCCAGGTGGCCCCCCACCTCCCCGCTATGGATTTTTAATAAATGGTGTTGGGATACCTGTATTGTCATTTGGAAAGCTATCCAAACAGATCCATTCTTATACTGTACATCATAATAAACTCAAAGCAGAGATTTTGAGTGAGCAGATTGGAGATCTAAATGTGAAAAATAAACCACACATATCCTAGATGAAAACATGGTAGCTTAGCCGACTGACCCACCCAGGCATCCCTTCCAAACTATGCCTTAGCATTCAGATGTATGTATTAATAAACTAAACTACATTTAAAAATTGACAGAAAAACGTAAGCAGAATCAAAAGACAATGACAATCTGGAGGAAAATATTTGCAAGAGATATCACAGATAAAGGGCTTATCTTTCCAACACAGAGCACATTTGCAAAATGGGACAAAGAAAAAACCAAGACCTGATAGAAAAATTGGCAGAAGACATGAACAATTTAGAGAAAAAGATAAAGAGACGCCCTTTGAACATATGGGGAGGTGCTCAGCTTCACTCCATAAGCAAAATGCAAATCAAGTCCTACCGAGAGAGGTTATTTCTCAGCCATGTGACTGGCAGACAGCAAAGGTTTGATCACAGGCTCTGGTCCCAAGGCTTCAGGGAAGTCTCTCATCCAAAGCTGGCGAGAAGACAAAGCTGCCCGAGCCCTGTGGAGAGGGGAGTTGTCAATATCTAACAAAACCAGGGCACCTGGGTGGCTTAGTCGGGTAAGTGTCTGACTTCGGCTCAGGTCATGATCTCACAGTTCGTGGGTTCGAGCCCCACGCCGGGCTCTGTGCTGACAACTAACTCAGAGCCTGGAGCCTGCTTCAGATTCTGTGTCTCCCTCTCTCTCTGACCCTCCCCTGCTCATGCTCTCTCTCTCTCTCTCTCAGAAATAAATAAAACATTAAAAAAAAATCTAACAAAACCGCAGTGTATCCACTGCTTGATCCAGGAATTTACATGGAAGGCTTCTCTGCGGATAGACAACAGCTGTGCTGTGTTATTCACTGCAGCTTTATTTGTACGAGTGAAATATTAGAAACAACCGAAATACTCATGAGATTGGCTGAATACATTACGGTACTCCAGTCATGCAGTGAGTCAAATGCAGTGATTTCAATCAAATAGAGTGATTTCCAGGGTATATTGTTAAGTAAAAATCAAACAGCAAACCAAGTCAATTAAAAACAAAACAAAACAAGGAATCAAAGAGTGTGTGTATATAGGGTTCTACCTTTTATGTAAAAAAGAAAGAGAAATATTTGCATATTTATGTGAAAAGAAATAGGGGCTCAAACCCGTGAACCAGGAGATCATGACCTGAGCCAAAGTTGGACGCTCAACCAACTGAGCCACCTAGGTGCCCCTGAGTTTACTTTCTATATAGATTTAAAATGATCTTTCTGAGAGAGAGAGGGAGGAAGGGGAAGAGGGAGAGAGAGAGAGAGAGAGAGAGAGAGAGAGAGAGAGAGAATCCCAAGCAGGCTCCACAGTCAACATGGATGCTCCAAGACTTGGATGCTCAACGGATAAGCCACCCAGGTGCCTAGATTTAAAATTTGAACCATGTAAATGTTGTAAATATTCCAAAAATACAAGTAAATTTAAAAGAATGAAAAAAAAAAACCTCTGAAATTAAGTGCAGATAAGTGAATCTGTTCACATGTTAAATTGTTAGCATAACTATACAGAAAAGGGAATTAATTCTAGTCACTTTTGCTCACAGTATTCTGACTGTAATATATTCTAAGGGAGATATATTTTAAGGCTGTGCTACAGTAGCCACTACTACAGTAGCCACTAGCCACATGTGACTATTTATTTAAATACTCAAATGAAAATGAAAACACTTAAATAAACTGCATTGCTGATGTAGAATTAAAAATTCAGTTTCTCAGTCCTACTAGCCACATTGCTCGATGGCCACACATGGCTGCCGTATTGGACAGGATGGATTGGATGGATATAGAACATCTCCCTAATGCTGTAAGCGCTTTTTGACTATTCTGAGGACAAAAGGAACTGCACTTTTATTTGCAAGTCAAAAACAACTTTTAAGTTTGTGATAGGTAGTCACAGTAGGTTAGCAATTTGAAGTCTTCTCAAATATTGAAGGATGGAACAGATAAGTAAATATATTCACATTTGGGGAGATACGTTCTCCCTGAGTGAGAAGGGAGGTACAGATATGGAATGGGAGCAGAGGAGGAAAAGTTTGCAGAGTTAGATTTTTTTTTTTCTAGGAGAGAGAGAGAGAGAGAGACAGCGTGAGCAGGGGAGGGTCAGAGAGAGAGGGAGTCACAGATTGAAACAGGCTCCAGGCTCTGAGCTGGCAGTCAGCACAGAGCCCGACACGGGGCTCGAACCCACGAACCGTGAGACCATGACCTAAGCGAAAGTCATACGCTTAACCGACTAAGCCACCCAGGCGCCCCATGCAGAGTTAGATTTGAATTGAAACTCTCAGTGTCAACTAATGGTTACTAAAGAAGTGACATGCCAGAGGCAATGAGCACTGAGTGTCCAGATCTTGGTTTCTAAATACCACTCTCTGCCAAAAGGAATCCAAGTTCCTTGGAGAAATTGCGGAGCCCAGATCTGGGGTAGGGAAAGGACAAGTTGAGCCCATGGCAGAAGGAAGAAGGTGCTCAAGGACTGATGGGAACTTGTCAAAAGGACACGTTTGGAGCTCCCACTGGACAAATTTGGGATAAACCAAGACCATGAAGATAGTGATGGTGGTGGATTAGAACATAGAATAAAAAGAATCCATAGTGATACAGAGAGGGGAGTTTAGGGGAAAGGGAGGTGGGGTGGGAGGGAAAATGGATAAGTTCTTTCTTATAGTAGAATGCCAACTAATACATGTAGAAGGAATAATGGAGTCAGAAAATAGTCACACGGTCTCAAGGTGTGGGAAAGACACAAGACTGCTTATGTAGAACTCTTGTCAAAAATCATTAACCTGAGTCTAATGGTGTAACAATCAGAAAAATCCAGTTGTGGGGCACGTTACAAACTACTTGCCTGAGCTTAAAAATGTCCCAAAAGACTAGAAGTTACTGGGATCCAGTCTAGATCAAAGGGGAGCAAAAAGATGTGACAACCAAATGTAACAGATGGTCCTTGATGAGATTGTTGATTGGAAAAAACAAAAACAAAAACAAAGCCCCCGAACTAGAAGGGATATTTTTGGGACACTAGCCAGTATTTAAGTAGAGACTGTCTATTAGATAATATTATATCAATATGTCTATGTTGAACTTCTTCCATGTGCTGATGGTATTATAGTTTATGTAGCTGATCTCCTATTTGTTCTTAGGTGATGTATGGTGAAGTGACTTAGGTCTGTTTTGCAAATGGTTCAGAGAGAAAAAGAAGTCTTCCTTTATACCTTTGAAATGAGACTCCTTACTTCCTGACCCAACTCACATAACTCTCCTTGCTGGGCTGGTCACTGGTAAAAGTTTCCTTTCCCCTTTTCAGAGCACCTTGTCATGGAGCCCAGAGTCAGTAAAGCAACAAGTAGGTGCAAGGTCCTCTCCTGGTACCACGTGCATTTGGTCCTGGAGCAGCATGGGTTTGAACTGTGCAAGTTCACTTGTCTGGGCTTCTCTCAATAAATAAAGTACAGTGCTGTAAATATGTTTTCTCTTCCTTATGACTTAACATTTTCTTTTCCCTATCTTACTTTATTGTAAAGTATATAATAAGTATTGTAGAGTACAGTATATAATAATGTAACAGAAAATATGTGTTAACCAACTCTTTTTTCTTTTTTGAGAGAGAGAGCCAGGGGGAACACTCATGTGAGCAGGGGAGGGACAGTGGGAGAGGGAGAGAGAATCCCAAAAAGGCCCCACATCCAGCACAGAGCCTGACATAGGGGCTCGATCCCACAACCTTGAGGTCATGATCTGAGCTGAAATCAAGAGTCAGGCACTCAACCGACTGGGCCTCCCAGGCGCCCGGACCAACTCTTTGTTATCCATAAAGCTTACAGTCAACAGTGGGCTATTAATAATTAAGTCTTCGTGGAGTAAAAAGTTATACGTGGATTTTTGACTGTGCTGGGGTTGGTATGGCAAACTCTCGTGTTGTTCAAGGTCTGTTATATTGATTTCTTGTCCCCTCCCTCAGTGGGTGCACAAGGCTGAAGGCCTGGAGACCCAAGTTCGGATCCCTGTGACCTTGAGCAAGTTACTCCACCTCCCTGGCTGCTTCATCCCGGGCTATAGGATGTCCAACACCATGATGTTGGGTAGAAGAAGCTGTCCTTGAACTCACATGCTTATAGGGTCCTGGGGGGCTGGGGATCGCTTGATAAGTTTAATGGCCCTCTGTGGCAGGGGGATGGGAATGTTATCCTTTGTACTCTCCCTTACCTACCTTGGGTCCTAGTCACCATTTTGGGGGAGGAAGGAGAAAGCAAGGTGTGCCTGCACGCTCGTGTGCTCCTGGCTGGGTGAGCGAGGGTCTGAAGCTGATGTCGGAAGCAATGCTGAGGGCGGGGTCTGAAGTCAGGATTTGAGCCGCGCGGGGGGGGGGGGGGGGGGGGGGGGGTGCGGGTGTGTGTGTGTGTGTGTGGAGACAGTGTTTGGTGGCCCAGGGTTCTTGGGAGAGCCTCCGGTGTCACCTGCACCGCCCTCACCCACCAGGCCCACGAGCGGCTGGAGGAGACCAAGCTGGAGGCCGTGCGGGACAACAACCTGGAGCTGGTGCAGGAGATCCTTCGGGACCTGGCGCAGCTGGCAGAGCAGAGCAGCACCGCCGCGGAGCTGGCGCGCATCCTCCAGGAGCCTCACTTTCAGGTTCCGGCCCCGGGGCGTGGTGTGGGCGTGGCCTGGGGGCGTGGCGTGTGGGCTGCCGCTGGGAGAGGCGCGGGCGGGGAGCTAGCGCCAGGGGTCACTGTCCCACAGTCCCTCTTTCTACCACCTCCCCAGTCCCTCCTGGAGACACACGATTCTGTGGCCTCGAAGACCTATGAGACGCCCCCGCCCAGCCCTGGCCTGGACCCCACCTTCAGCAACCAGCCGGTGCCTCCCGACGCGGTGCGCATGGTGGGCATTCGCAAGACCGCTGGAGAGCATCTGGTGAGGCCACCAGGCAGGGATGGGGGTGGGAGCCTGAGGGAGGGGGACGGAGAGGAAGCAGTGGGGCCCAGATCTGCCCCAGAGAGGGCTGAAGGGGAAGGTGGCACCAGCTTTGCGCAGGGCCGGGCCCACGCAACCCAAAGAGACCGCGCACTGTGGATCTGAGCTGCACACATACACGTATGTGCCAGGACCCTCTCCACTCTGCCCACCTTCCCTCCATGAGTGCCCCTGTACGTGAAGGATTTGGGCAGAAAAGTGGAAAAGGAGGACCCTGTGAGTCCGGGGTGGAAGGGGTGAGGATGGGAATGGAGGGGCTGTTAGGAAACCCATTTGAAGATTCTGACTCGGAGCAGCTGGGGGCCTCATTGGATCACCCTCCCCCCCACCCCCGTCCCAGGGAGTGACCTTCCGTGTGGAGGGCGGTGAGCTGGTGATCGCGCGCATTCTGCACGGGGGCATGGTGGCTCAGCAAGGCCTGCTGCACGTGGGCGACATCATCAAGGAGGTGAACGGGCAGCCGGTGGGCAGCGACCCCCGAGCCCTGCAGGAGCTCCTGCGCAATGCCAGCGGCAGTGTCATCCTCAAGATCCTACCCAGCTATCAGGAGCCCCATCTGCCCCGCCAGGTAGGTGCCTCCACCTACCTCCCCACCCAGCCCACAGCCCAAGGGGCAGCCAGGGCTCCCAACCGCCAGGGTCACAGGCCGGGAGTGGGAGTCCCCATCTCCTGCATACCCTTGCATTGGTCTGAGTCTTGGGCACTCATATGCAGGTGCAAGGAATGTGTGCACGTTCAAGGCCCCAGGGTATGAAATTAGGCACCTGTATTGATGCAGCCCCCGGCTTGTCTGTGTGTACCCTGTTTGTGCATGCGCGATGTTGAGTTGCCAGCTGGCCTGTACTGCTGCCTCCTTATTTTGGATGGTGGGTGGGGGTCTGGCTGCTCTGTCCACTTTCTCCTGGCGGCTCTCTAGCCGTCTGCCAGAGCCCCCTGTTCCAAGGGGTGGCTGTGGGTGGACTGAGGGATCCCCTACCCAGTGATCCTGTCTCCTCCTCAGTGGGTGGGTCCATGGCCCCAGCTGCCCAGAGGCCCCATCAGTCTTTGTCCTTTTGCTCTAGATGCAGAGGAAGGCTGGTACTAGGGAGCCAGCCAAGGGGGCCTGGGGGCATCATGCCCTTACTAAAGGGGCCAAGCCAGAGCCTCTTTGATCTCTGCCAGGGTGTGGGGAAGACGGTGGACCATGTGGCACTCCCCCTCCCCCAGAGGGGGAAGTGGGGCAGGGGGCTGGTCTGACAAGGGTGCTGACCTCCAGCCTTCCCTTCTTGCTTTGACCCTCCTCCGATCCCTGGCCCAGGTATTTGTGAAATGCCACTTTGACTATGACCCTGCAAGAGACAGCCTCATCCCCTGCAAGGAAGCCGGCCTGCGCTTCAGCGCCGCAGACTTGCTGCAGATTGTAAACCAGGATGATGCTAACTGGTGGCAGGTGAGCCCTTGGGTCTGTCTGTCCAGGTATGGGGTGGGGGTGGGGAGCTGAGTGCCCCAGGAGGTGTCTTCTCACTCAGGCATATCTTTCTCCCTTGTCTGTCCCAGGCCTGCCATGTAGAAGGGGGCAGCGCGGGGCTCATCCCCAGCCAGCTGCTGGAGGAGAAGCGGAAAGCCTTTGTCAAACGGGATCTGGAGCTGACACCCACCTCAGGTATGAGCCCCCCCCCCCTCCACCTCATAACCCCTAATCTGGGATCTCAGTCAAGCCGGCCTGGCCTCACTCACCCATCTCCCTGTGCCCAGGGACCCTATGTGGCAGCCTTTCGGGAAAGAAAAAGAAGCGAATGATGTATTTGACCACCAAGAATGCAGGTGGGTGTTGGAGGCCCCCTTCCCTGTCCTCCTCTAAGATGCCGTGCCCCCTCCCACCCCCCACCAGTGACTTGTTGGTGCTGATGTTGCCAGTCCCGCCCCCAGGACCTGCCTAGTCTCTCTCTGCTGCCCCCCCCCCCAGCCCTCTTATGCTTGGCCTCCCCAAGCCTGGCCTGGCCCCACCCATGCCGCCCGCATAGCCTGACGCGCGCCTTCTCCCTGCGTTCAGAGTTTGACCGCCACGAGCTGCTCATTTATGAGGAGGTGGCCCGCATGCCCCCCTTCCGCCGGAAAACCCTGGTGCTCATCGGAGCGCAGGGTGTGGGGCGGCGCAGCCTGAAGAACAAGCTCATCATGTGGGATCCAGATCGCTACGGAACCACCGTGCCCTGTGAGTGGGCGCTGGGCCCTGGTGGGTGGGGGCAGGGAGCAGGGGCTGCCCTGGGGGCTGGGGCTGGGACCGCAGAGCGGGCATCTACGTGGGCACCAAGGCAAGTGGTGCGTTTGAGTGAGGCGTGGGGGCAGTGCGCCCTCTGCAGGTTGGGGGGGAACTGCAAGCTGGAGAGGGATCGGAAAGCTGTCCTTTGAACTTGTGGCCCGGGTGGGCTCTGCAGGCTTCGCCTTTCCTTCTCCCATGTTTCACTAACTGGAAGCCCAGCTGGGAACTCATGTGAAACAGGGCTGTGTGTGGCCTTGTGGAAGACAGGGTTTTCTTGGTGACACAACCAGCCTGGGTGGTGAGGGCCCCTGGTTCCTGGAGGCAGGAACCTGAACGCTGACCCCAGATCTTCTTGCCCTTGGTGTGTGGCTTTGGGGTGCATATCGCCCTCTCCAGGCCTCAGCCCCCCATCTGTGAGTCCTACGTTGGAGCAGTGAACTCTGAAGGTCCACTCACTGCCTCGAAGTCGTGTGTGGCAGTGGTGACGGTGAGGGTGCGGGGTGGGGGAAGCAGCAGCACTTTGGAGGCAGAGGGAGGCCGCACCTCTCAGGCCACATGAGCACGTGTGTCCGAGGTGGTTCAGCCTGCCTGTGCTCACGCAGCCTCTCCTTCCCCCTAGACACGTCCCGGCGGCCCAAGGACTCTGAACGGGAAGGCCAGGGCTACAGCTTTGTGTCCCGTGGGGAGATGGAGGCTGACATCCGTGCCGGGCGCTACCTGGAACACGGGGAGTATGAGGGCAACCTGTATGGGACGCGCATTGACTCCATCCGGGGTGTGATCGCCTCTGGCAAAGTGTGCGTGCTGGACGTCAACCCCCAGGTACCGCTCCAGCCTGCCCGGTATTCCCCACCACACCCCCCCCATTCTGCTGCACCCCCCCCAGCACTCCCCATATACTTCCAGGCACTGGTCTCCCAAGCACCCCCAACTCCAGCTAGGGACCACCTAGGGACCACCTAGGGACCACCTAGGGACCCATCTAGAATCTCTTTCTCACTCTCCCAGCCCCCCCCCCGCCCCAGCCTCTTCCAGTTTCCCCGTCCCCAGCCACCTGCCAGTTTTTCCTCTCCCATCCATCCCCAGGTGCCATGTCCCCACCCTCCCAGTCACCTGTCCCCCCAGCTACCCTCCTCCACCTTCCAGGATGCCCGTGGGATATATTCTCCCACCCCCTTCTTTTCCTGCAGGCAGTGAAAGTGCTGAGAACAGCTGAGTTTGTTCCTTACGTGGTGTTCATCGAAGCCCCGGACTATGAGACCCTCCGGGCCATGAACCGGGCTGCACTGGAGAGTGGGGTGTCCACCAAGCAGCTTACGGTGAGGACTCTGAGGTGCAGCGGGAGGGGTCTGGTGGCTGCCTCGGGGGAAGGCACGCTGGCGCTGATGAGAAGAAGGTGGTGCTGGGGAAGGAAAGAGAGCGCCACCCAAGATATCAGTGAGGTTGGACTCCTGACTCCCACTTTATAGGTATGAAAACAGAGATCCCAGCAAGGAAGTGAAGTGCCCCAGAGTCTCATAGAGTCAGGGATACAGCTAGCCTGGGGTGCAGGAGCTCTTGCCAGGCCTGCCGCTCCATCCACTGCCCCAGACAGAGTGCTTAAGGGAGCCCCGAGGGCCAGTGGGAGATCTATAGGCAGAAGTGGGCCAGACGTTATTTACAACTGGAGGGAAAAGCTGAAGGGAAGGAGGAGGCTGGAGGCTGGAAAGATGGCTGGAGGGATGAGTTAGCATCAGGGAGGAGGTTGGGAGGAGGGGCTTCAAGTCTGCGGTTACAGGACACCAGGGCACCTTCCTCTCCCCACCATCCCCTTGGAGCAGCCTTCTCCCGATTTAGGGTTTGTGGAACTCTGAGCTCAGGGGTCCCTCTGCTGGCCATATCTGGTACTGCAGTCCTCAGCCCCCTGGTCAGAGCCCCACACAGGCCCAGGAGAGGCTGTTTGGGCTGGGCTCCCCTCTGAAGTCCCCTAGCCAGCTGGGGCCACTGGGACAAAGCTGGGCCAACCCTAGAGCTTCTGCCTCTGATTATTTACGTCACTATTCAAAGTTTCCTTCCCACCCCTGCTCAGCCCCTGGCCAGCTGATTAGGTGTGGGGTAGCCGTGGCCCAAGGTAGTGGCATGCATGGGAGGTGCATCTCAGGCGCCCAATCACACTGGAGGGACCTCTGACTTTGGTGTCAGGAAGATCCTGTGCAGCCACTGGCTGACTGGGTGACCTCTTTGTACCCCCATTTTCTCTGTCGGAAATGAGAAATAACTAGTCCTGCTTAGCAGAGCTGTCACGAAGATTATGTGGGTTGCAAAGCAGTTAGTGCCATGCTAGGCACTTATTAAAGGTTATTTCCTTCCTACTTTCCTTCTTTTCACCCATTTGTCTGTCCATGGCTGCAGGAGAGCTGCCTTGAGACCAGCAGCGGCTCCTCCTCCCTGGCCAGGGAGCCTGTACCTGAAACAGCAGGGCTCTGGGCAGGTGGATGGATAGGGGAGAGGTGTAGATTCCCTGTGATGATGGGGGGTGGTGGACTGGGGGACACTGATGACTGGGATGTCCCCTTGTGCCAGCAGGAAGCAGACCTGAGGAGGACAGTGGAAGAGAGCAGCCGCATCCAGAGGGGCTACGGGCACTACTTCGACCTCAGCCTGGTCAACACCAACCTGGAGAGGACCTTTCGTGAGCTCCAGGCGGCCATGGAGAAGCTGCGGACAGAGCCTCAGTGGGTGCCTGTCAGCTGGGTGTACTGAGCCTGTTCATGTGTACCTCACCCCTCTGGGTTGTGACCCAGAACCCCGAACCCATCCCCCTCCCCAGCCATGATCCTTAGCTCGCATCCCTGGCGGTCTGGCTCTCTCTGGGTGATGACTCCTAGTGGGGCCCTAATCTGGCTTTGGCACAGAGGCACATACTGCCAAGGACATGGGTGTTCATGGGGTACCTCTGTGCCCAGGTGCTGCCTGCTCCCCACACCCACTGGCCACCAGATGTCCCTCTCTGAGGGCCAGGCTGTGCCCAGGAGTGTGTCAGAGTCACCTCCCTAGTGTTCAGTCCAGAGAAGAGAAAAGCTGCTTTGGGACCACCAAACCTCCGCCCTCGCCCTCGGGGCACCTCTCTCCAGGTCTCCTAGGACTGGCCACGCCCACTCCATTCCTGGGCTCCTCCCACCTCTCACCCCTGTGGCCTGAGGAGCGGGCTTTGGGCTGTTTCCAGACTGGGGAGTGCAGGTCCCGGCAGCCAGGCAGGCCTGGGCAGTGGTGCCGGCCTGAAGGCTGGGGGAGCCCGAGCTTGAACCAGCAGGGCCGTCCCAGCTCCCGTGGAATCGGGCGGAGTCCCACAAGCGGACCCTGCCCTGTCCTTCCCTCATCCACAGCTTTTCACTGCCGAAGTCTCTCCACAGACTTCTCCAATGTGTCCCCCACAGATCAGCTCTGCTCCCCTGCACTGGGCAAGGCCAGCAGGGGTGGATGGGCTTAGCAGCAGGGGTAGGGGTGGACGGTCGCAGGGAGCCTGCTACTACTGACCATGGCCCCTGGTGGGGCACATCTGGGCTCCCTGTTCGTGACCATCATCCATTTTGGCCGCTCTACTGAGGTCCTGGGGCTGCTGAGCATGGGTGCAGAGGGGACCTTGTGAGGAGGCCGGGGTGCGGGGGGCACGGGCTCCGAGGAGGACATTTGTGCTCTACCAGCTTCTTGTTGAACAACTCCAGGGGGCGCTATTCACAGTGTCTCAGCGCAGCTTCTGTTCCTCATGCTATGGCACCCGGTCTGTGTTTGTGTCATTGGTGTGTGTATCAGTGTTGGTTTTTGGAGCAGAGAAGCAAAGGGTTGTTTTTGCTTTGGTGGTCACTTTTGGGGGCCCTTTTGAGGGGGTTCCCCATCAGCCCCCATTTCTTATGAGACTCTTATCCCCGATTCCAGAGCCTTGGCCCCTCCCCAGATGTCTGCCTCCACCCCTCCCATTGTCCCCCTATCTTAAAAGCCACCCTCCAGTCCTTGGGGAAGGCAAATTGTGTAAAATAGGAAAATCCCTTTTAAGAAAAGCAAGAATGCCGTCCTAGACTTCCCCAGGCATTTGTCCCTCATTCTTCTCTGTGATCCTGCCTGGGGTCAGCCTGTCCTTGCCCGGGACCACCCCATCGCCCCCACCGCCGCCCCTGCCACCTGCCCTCGGACTTTCCAGTTCTCCTGAGTGTCTAATCGGTCTTCGCTGCAGGTTCAGCCCAAGCTGGCCCCTGAACCACTGTGTGCCCATTTCCTAGGGAAGGGGAGGGAGAAGAGACAGAATATTTATTACAAAGTTAGAAATATATTTATTATATTAGGGATCTCATTTGCATTTGCGTAGGATATGCAAGTGAGATGCAAAGGTCAAGCCTGCTCCCATCTCATTTGCATAGCTCTGCATTCACTATGCAGTCACCTTTATACTCCTCTTTTCCCCTTTAGCCAGTGTTCTTTTTATCCTCGCTTCCACTCCCCCTTGCATCACCCTTACCCACAGCCCATGGGGACCAGGAGTGGAAAGTAGAAGGGCCGCTGCTCTCCTGCTGGCTGGCCCGAGGCAACCAATGGTATCCTTTGCCAATTGCCACCTCCCGTGGAGGATTTGGGAATAGGAGCAGCTGAGAATCTGCTGGTGCAAACCCCCCACCCTTGGTTAGCCTCCAAAGTACCCTGATGGAGAGACCGTATTCCACGGGGGTGGAGGGAAGCTGGCATAGGGGGCTGGGCACCTTGCTGGAGGATTGGCACCTGGCCCTTTAGGGCAGCTCTCCTGTGTTGATGCCATTCTGCTACCTTCACCTCTAGTGATGCCTGGGCAGCTGGGCCCGGTCCCTCCCTGAACTGTGTCCTCCCTCTCCTGCCCCGCCCCCGGCCCAGGGCTGGGTTGGAACAGGTGTGCGCCCACCACGTTACCTCTCTCCCTCCCTGGACACTTGTATTTGAGGCACCTTGGGATAATGAGGAATCTGCCCCCCACTGTCCCCGCTCGGTGCCAGCCCGGTTGCCCTTTCCCCTCTCCTCTCCCTCAGTCGATTCTTGAGCTTTTGCCCTGACTCGTTTTCTTTCTTTTCCTTTGATTAAATGTGAAAACAAAGGCTTCTGGGCTCTGTCTGTCTTTGGTTGGGGCCCAGTGGATGGATGGCTTCCAGACAGGGTGAGAGTGGGGAGCCCCAGCACAGATGATTCTGGAATGGAAGTCAGAGTGAATTGTCCCGTGTCCTGTGACGTCTTCTAAAATTTCACATTCCACCTGGCCCATCCCCAGAAAATGCTTGTTCTAAATGGCCATAGGCAGGAGCCTGTGAACATTCATGGGGGCCAGGGGATCCCGGGACTCCATGGCTAATCCATTTCACTTCACCTAGAACTTGCTGTGTGGGGCAGGCCCCTGTACCTCTTAGGTTCATTCTCTGTAACAGTGGCACGGACTCTCTCAGCGCTAATGCTAAGATTGGTTCTAGGTGCTTGGCCGTACATGCCGTAGAGAGCTGGTTGAAATGTCACCCAGATGTCACCATGGGTGTGTGTGTGTGTGTGTGTGTGTGTGTGTGTGTGTGTGTGTGAAATCCTTCAGGGTTAAGGCATCAGCCTTCCTTCCCAGCTTGATTTCTTCAGGGGAGCCCAGAATGTTCACTGAGGATTCTCAGTAGGGGGCTCTAGCTGTTTGCTTCTCCCTGTAACAACCAAATGTAGAACTGGCTTTCTTCCTTTGATTTCCCCAAAGCATCCACTCACACAAGGGCAAACATGGGGCCGACTTCACTGGTGATTTGGAGACAAACATAGGGGCTTATGTCTTCCACCTAACAGCTCTGATGAGAATTTAGAATTGAATATTAAATACCTCAACTCTGAATGCTCCCTGATCGTTCCCAGCACATAGAATATTTTTCTGGTCAACCTTTGTCTTTGGGTTCCCCTGCCTCCTTCCGTGTTGCTGGACCCCCTTCCTCTCATTTTTGAACAACCTTTTTCCCATCTCCGGGGAGTCCTTGGAAAATGAATATTTCCTTACCATACCTAGCAACCCCACACTTGTATTTTTGTTCTAATCCAGTGGTTTTCAGTCCTGGCTGCGCATTAGAAATGCCCGAAGGGTTCAAAACAAAACAACAATTGCCTGGACCATACTGCAGTTCATTTAAATCAGAAGTTCTGCAAAGTTGACTGCTGTAACTAATTTAGCTTTATTATTAATTTCTCGCTCACATCACATCACATGGGAATTGGGTGGCACTTCTAGCAGTGACTCAGAGATCCAGCCTCTTTCCATTTTTGACACCATCATCTTTACAAAACAGGCTCCACAGATGTCTCGGAAGAGGAATAAAGGGTAGCATATGACTCAGGGATTTTATTGGCTAGGCCAGCCTGCCCACATCCATTGGCCAGAATCTCATCATGGGTCCCTGGATTACTGCAAAGGGGCCTGGGAAATGTAGTTTTCCTTGGTACTCAGGAAGAGGAAATGGGAACTAGCCAGTCTGCCAGGCTGGGCGTGGAATCTGGGAAGCCCTATGTTTTAAAAGCTTCCCAAGTGATTCTAATGTGTAGCCAAGTTTGCCAACAACCACTCACCTATTTTTGCCAGAACCTTGGGAGTGGAGGAAATCTCCTTTTAGCCCTGAATTGACATCAAGGTATTTTCCTAATAAAGACACTTGAATTTCTTTTTTAAATTTTTTTTTGAGAGACAGACAGACAGACATAGCATGAGCAGGGGAAGGACAGAGAGAGAGGGAGACACAGAATCCAAAGCAGGCTCCAGGCTCTGAGCTGTCAGCACAGAGCCCGGCGTGGGGCTCAAACTCTTGAACTATGAGATTATGACCCGAGGCTGAAGTCGGATGCTCAACCAACTGAGCCACTTAGGCACTCCAAGATAGTTGAATTTCTAAAAGGAATTCTGGTACCATTTTAAAAATTCTTTTTCCCTCCTGGCACAGTAACCTATGGTTAGTAGAGCAGAATGGATTCTTACCATATTATAGTTGGGAAACTGACCTAGAGAGGTGATGGGCTTTGTCCACACTGAAAGTCATTGGCGGAGCTGGAACAGGCTCCAGGCTCTGAGCTAGCTGTCAGCACAGAGCCCGAAGTGGGGCTCGAACCCACGAACCGTGAGATCATGACCTGAGCTGAAGTTGGCTGCTCAAACTTCCAAACCGTGAGATCATGACCTGGGCCGAAAACACTAGTCAGATGCTTAACCTTAAAGGATTGAGCCACCCAGGTGCCCCACCAGTGTGCTTTTAAACAATGAGGTTGTATGTAAAACAATTTTTGTTGTGTTGCTGAGTTTGTAGGAAAGGAACTATCCAAGGAGCAAAGAGGAAAGGTGGCATTACCCTAAAGGCAAATGACAATATTAGCATCACATTTGGAAAATTAAGTCTAAAGCCAGGGGCAAAGAAAGGCCACCTGAAGTTCTGGTAAACTAGGGACCTGGGAAGGGGCAAATCTAGTACCACGTTGGTATTGCGTCCTGGACCCTGACAGAAGCAAATGCAAATCCTCTCTGGAGGAAAGTATCCTCAATTTTATCCCTCAGGACTGAAATCCATAGATTGAAATAATCCAAACGTGAGCTCACATGGTGAGATGCACAGGAACAAACCACCATGAATGGTAGTCAGCATAAACAAGGGCATATTTCTATCTCCAAGGACCTTTGATATTAGGTACCAAATGTAAATTAAGTATGTGCAACTATTTACTGGAATAAAAGGTGGCATTACAAAAATTAACAAGCAACAAGGCTCTAGAATGACCAGTCAGAGTTGAAAGAGAACGATCCAGGACTTTTAGAAATAAAAAGCACAATGATGAAAATAAAAACTAATTGGGAGGGGGTTAGCAGCCAATTAAACACAACTGAGTAGAGATTAGTGAACCAGAAAGTCGCTCCCCTATGTATGGTGCTCGGACCCACAGCTCATCCATCATCAGCCCTGAGAGCTTGTTGGAGAGACAGACTCTCGGGTGCCACCTACTGGTGACCTGCTGAATCAGAAGCTGCCATTCAACACGATTCCCTGTGATTTGTAGGCATATTCAAGTTTGAGAAGTACTAAACTGGGGGAAATTACATAGATTCAAAACAAAGAGATAAAGAGAAGGGAGATATGAACGAGAGGTAAAGAGATATGGGAGCGATAAAGAAAAGGTGTAGAAAAAGGTAACTCTGGCTTGTGGAGAGATATTTGAGGAGAATTTCCTAGAACTGATGAAAGGCATGAACTCGCATATACAAGAGTTTACACCCAACAAGAAAAACAAATAGCTCGTGGCCAGGAGTGAACCTGCAGGACATCAAGACAACTGGAAAAGCAGGCTGTGAAAAAAGCTAGGTCACAGCAATCAGTCTGACAGCAGATTTCTCAAAAGCAACACTGAAAGCTAGAAGAGAAAACCGTAGTATTTCCAGAACGCTGACCGAAAACAGCGGTCAACCTCAAACTGTACACCCAGCAAAACTCTTTCAAGAATTAGATGGAGTAAATCAGTTTTCAGATAAAAGTAGAGTTTGCCATGGAACTTTTTAGGGAATTTGAAACTCAGGAATGTAAGCCAGTGGCATCCATGTAAAATAGCAATTAACAACGTCTGGGTGGCTTGGTTAGTTAAGTGTCTGACTTCAGCTTAGGTCACACTCTTGCAGTTTGTGGGTTTAAACCCCAAATTGGGCTCTGGGCTGACAGCAGAGAGCTGCCTCATCCCTGCTGTCTCTCAGAAATAAACAAACATTTAAAACAATAACAACAACGTCTAGTTTGTACTCATTCCACAAAGAAAACTCATGCTCCTGCTGAATTCTACCAAATGTATAAAGAACTATTGGTAATTTACACAAATTCAGCCAGAAACTTGAAGAGGAGGTAATATTTCCCAGCTTACCTTGACACCAAACCCAGACAGAGTCCTTAATAACAAAATAAAACTACTGGCTAATATTCTTCGTGATTAAAGTAACACCAAGGACACAATGCTGGGTTAAAAAAATTTTTTTTAAATCTTTATTTATTTTTGAGAGAGAGAGCATGAGCAGGGGAGGAACACAGACAGAGGGAGACACAGAATCTGAAGCAGGCTCCAGGCTCTGAGCTGTCAGCACAGAGCCTGATGCGGGGTTCGAACTCATGAGCCATGAGATCACGACCTGAGCTGAAGTCAGACACTTAACTGGCTGAGCCACCCAGGTGCCCCATTGCTGGTTTAACTTTAACATTAGAAAGTCAAAGAACAGAGTCTTTCTGTCTTTTGACTAAAAAAAAATATATATATGATCATCTCAATAGCTGCAGAAAAATCATTGAGAAAATGAGTATCTATTCTTCATTAAAAAAAAAAAAACACAAAACTCTCAGAAAACTAGAAACAGAAGAGAACCTTCCCAACCTGATAAAAGATGAACCCCCTACAGACAATATCATACTTTTGGTGAGAGACTGAGCGCCTTCCCCCTAAGACTGGGGACAAGGCAAGAATTTTTGCTTTCAACATCTCTTTTTATTTTTATTTAAAACATTTGTTTTCATGTTTATTTATTTATTTTGAGAGAGAGACAGAGCGTGGGCAGGGGAGGGGCAGACAGAGAGGGAGAGAGAGAGAATCCCAAGCAGGCTCTGCACTTTCAGCACAGAAGCCGATGTGGGGCTCAAACCCATGAACCGTGAGATCATAACCTGAGCCGAAATCAAGAGCCGGATGCTTGACTGATGGAGCCACCCAGACACCACTCAACATCTCTTTTTAACATTTACTAGAGGTTTTAACTGATTCAAAAAGGCAAAAACAAAAACAAACAAGAAAACAGAGAGAGAGAGAGAAAGAATAAGGAAAGGAAGAAAGAATAAGAAAAAGAAAGAACAAAAGAGAGAGAGAGGGAGGAAGGAAGGAAGGTGATCCAGATTAAATGGAAGCATAATCCTATCTATATTCATAGATGACATGATTGTATGCACAGAAAATTCTACGGAATCTACCAAAAAAGCTATTAGAACTAGTGAGTTTGGCAAGATTGCATGATATAAGATCTATACACAGAGATCAATTGTATTTCTATATACTAGTAACAATCAGAAATTAAAATTTAAAAGGCAACACAGTTTACAATAGCTTCAAAAAACATGAAAAACTTAGTGATAAATCTGGTAAAAGATGTGCTGGCCTACAGGCTGAAAACTATATTATAAAGTATTGCCAAGAGGACTAAATAAAGTTATCCTTCCCTCATGGAATGGAAGAAATCACTTTTGTTAGCCTGTCAATTCTCCCCAAATGAATCTATGTATTCGATGCAATCCCAATCAAAAATTCCAGCAAGCTTATTTGGGAGTTACAAAGGGATAAACCCCAGGGTGCCTGGGTGGCTCAGTCGGTTAAGTGTCCAGCTCTTGATTTCAGCTTAGGTCATGATCTCACGGTTCTGTGAGTTCGAGCCCTGCATCAAGCTCTGCACTAACAGTGCTTAGGGCTCTCTCTCTCTCTCCAAATAAGTAAGTAAACTTAATAAAAAAGGGATAAATCCATGTGATCCACTCAGGGTGAGCAGACTTGCTGCTCTTGCACTAGGCTTGGGGGTGGGGGCGCTCACACTCAGATCCAGCCCCATGATGCCTCTGCCCGCTGTAGCCCTGGGTGCCTGTCACTTCTGCAAAGTGCTACAGGTGGAGAGCACATCTCAACTGCTCCAGAGGTGCCTGAAAGCTCATCATGTCCCTTCTACCTTCTCTGCTTCTGTTTTCTCTTTGCCTATGAGCCACCACCTCCTGGATGAGCTTAGAAAAATCTCTCCTGGGGCGCCTGGCTCAGTCCATGAAGCGTGCGACTCCATCTCGAGGTTGTGAGTTCAAGCTCTGTGTTGGGCGTTGAGATTACGTAAAAATAAAAACCTCTTTAAAAAAAGAATTAAGTAGGAAATGAAAGTTGTATATACAAAATAATTGTAAGAGAACAATAGCAAATGACGTTGAGAAAAAAAATGGAAGGAAATACAACAAAACGCAGCAATGATGGTCTCCGGCAGTGGGGAGTCTAAGCGACTTGTTTATTTTTCTCCTCCTCTCCCATTTTTCTAACTTTCCTATACTGAGCAGCCCCTTGTTTCATTTTTTAAAGAAAATGGACAAAGAAAATATAGCAGTTCTGTTATTCTACCCCCGCCCCTCTCCCCTCCCCAGGGACCTGGACTCAAGGTCACCTTCAGGCTCCTCTAAGGTTCCCGTCAGGGTCCCCTCCTTCCTGCTTTCAGAATCCCACCTGCACCCTGTGCTTTCTGACCCTTCCCTCAACCCCCAGCCCTAGGCAATTAACCCTTTCTCAACTAGGAAGGAGCCAAGCTTTTCTCCATCCTCCTTCCAAAGCCTGGGATGCATGTCTGGGTGGGGAGCTGGGAAAGGCAACCGACACTGTCGGTTCCAATGCGCACTTGACCTGGGCCTGGACTTGGACAGGCCCAGGAAAGCCCTCATGGGTGATGGTGTTGTGGGCAGAGCAGCCCTGGTGTGTGTGGGGAGGGGGACGGTGTGGGGGGCAGGTGGGAGACCCTACACACCACGTGGAGACTCTAAGCTGGATGAACCTAAAAATTTAACAAGCCCCCTGGTTCTCACACTCAAGTGTTAGAGTCACCGGACACTTGTTAGAAATGCAGAGTTTTGGGCCCAGCCCCGGAGATGGTTTTGGTAGGTCTTAGTAGATCCCAGGAATCACATGTTTAAATTAAGTTAAATTAAAATTTTTATGGGGGGGGCCAGAGGGAGAGAGAAAAAGAAAGAGAGAGAGCACGAATCCACCTGAGCTGACATCAAGAGTGAGATGCTCAACGGCCCAAGCTACCCAGGTGCCCCCAGGAATCCCATTTTTTAAAAATGTTTTATTTATTTCTAGGAGAGAGAGAGAGAGACAGCGTGAGCAGGGGAGGGTCAGAGAGAGAGGGAGTCACAGACTGAAACAGGCTCCAGGCTCTGAGCTGGCAGCCAGCACGGAGCCCAACGCGGGGCTCGAACCCACGAACCGCGAGATCATGACCTAAGCGAAAGTCGGACACTTAACCGACTAAGCCACCCAGGCGCCCCAAGAATCCCATTTTTAACCAGCCTCCTGAAGGCCTGGGATGCAGGTGATTGACAGCCACGTTTTGAGAAATCAGAACACAGTTGATGCCCAGCATCCTCCTCTTCCTCACTTATGCAGGAGAAAGTGGTGCGGAGTCAGGATGGAAGGAAGAGAGAAGAAGAAGGTGAGGTCTGGAGGGGGTGCTGTTGCTGGGCACCCAGGCCCAGGGAGGTTCTTGCAGCAGATACAAAGTCAGACCAGACTTCCCGAGCCGAGCCGGGCTCCGGCCAGCGCTGCAGGCCCAGGGTGTGGACAGACTGGGAAGGTCCCAGGCTCCCGGGGGACTGTGAGGTCCCCACTGCGGGGGCTCTGGGGCTGACAAAAGCTTCCAGTTGGGCTGGGGTACGCAGGAGGAGAGCCTGGAAAGGGCGAGGGTGGGGGAGAGCCCCAGGGTCTGGCAGGTGAACTCTGAAAGCTGTAGCAGAAAACTGATTGGAGTCAGTGCAAAGCCAGCCCTTCGGATTCCCCGCGGGCTGGCCTGGAGGGGGTGTTTGCCACTAGACGGAGATGAACTTGGAGAAGCCGAGCTCCTCCCCAGATATGTGGAGGGGAGGCCCTGGCATCATGTCGCCCTCCTGGTCCTGGGAAGAGGCTTCTTCTTCCTCTGAAGTCTGTAAAGACAGCAGTCAGGTGTTGAAAAGCAGAGCCCAGCTTGGGGTGGGGGGTGTGTCCCCAAGGGGCTGTTGGATAGACCTCAGCCTGTTTCGAGGTCCTGGGCCTCTAAGAGGCAGCGATGACTAGTTCTCCCCAGACCTCTCAGGCTCTGATTCCTGCCCCTCACCTCCTCCCAAACATCCGCCCCCTGGAGAGCATCCTCATGGCCTTCACAGCCCAGCACTCTTTCAACTGTGACCACAAACAAGCTATGCAAGAACTTTCTGGAAAGGGGAAAAAAGAGGATGTAAAGTCAAGAGTCCTGACCTGTGAATGAAGTGGCCCCGGGCCTACAGTTATGATGGGGTGGGTGGCTGGACGTGGGGGGCCAGTGTTCAGGGAGTGGATGCCGAGGAGAGTCCCCCCCGCTCCACCCACCGACTTCCCCACATTGTCAGGAGCCTGGCTGGGTGGCTCCAGGCCCCCCAGTGCCCTCTGTTCACACCTGGCTGAGGCCCCGGATTTCTGTGCAGGGCTTGGCGGAGAGCTCTGGGCTGGCTGGAGGCCCAGGGGGCCCTGCAAGGTTGATCATGGCGTACTCCAGCGACTGAAACAGAGACTCAATCGGAACAGCGCATTCTCGGCAGCGGGGATGGTCCTCCCTCCACAGCGAGAGGAGGGAGACAATGGGGGGGGGGCGGGGAGACAGGGCGAGAACACAGGCTGTGGAGTCAGAGTCATTCTGTCCTGTTTCCTACATCTCAGAGTGACCTTGGGCTCAGTGCCCTCAGCTGTAAAATGGGGATAAGAATTTGTCCCTCCAGGTTATAATGACTATTCATGGTAATGTTTCACAGCTCAACACCGGGGAACTCCTGATATGATTAATTTGCTTTTATTATTGATATTTCTGTCCTTGAAGCAGAAAGAACGCACAGGCTGAAGATTCTCCGCAGGCCCCGGGAAGGGGCGGGGAGTAGAGGAAATCTGAATACCTCAAAGGTTCACCGATTAACAAACCGCAAAGGAAAAATTCTTTACCAGTCAGAGCACCCCCTCCTTGATCAGATGATAAGGAAACCAAGGCTGAGGGAGTAGGAGCCACCCTGTGACCAGGGCTGGCTGTCCCCACGGGTCCCCAGGTCAGCAATGCCAGCCCTTCCCCCGTTTCCCCCAACCAAGTCTCTGCAGGACACAGCTGCTCTTAGGTCTCCCAGCCAGTAAATCCCATGGCCCAATGGGCACTGGAGACGAAGAAAGAGAAAGAAAGAATCTTCTGTTTTCTGAATGTCTCACTTCATGTTCCTCACCACAACCCCAGGAGATGGGAACACTTGAGGCTCAGAGAGGTGATGTAACTGGCCAGATGTCACACAGCTGGTGAGGAGCTGAGCTGGGAATTGTACTCACAACCATGTGACCTCAGACCCAAGTTCGTTTCTATACCACGCTGCCTGCTGACGTGGCAGGGCGTGACCCATACGTCTCTTTGTCTCTTGCCCCTTGTCTCCTAACTCCCCCTCTCCCTCTGATGCTATCACTGCCCTAGCAGCAGGGGATGGAGGCAGAGGTGGACATTTGAGCCATCTTTGGTGACACATCCAGTCTTACAGGACAAGATGAAAATCTGAGCACAGTTCCTCAGGCAGGCTAGGACTGGGGGAACGAGGGGACAAGGGAATGGGGGGTGGGGGAGGAGATTTCACAAATCCTGTCACTCACGGCTCTGCTCTCTCCGGGTCCTGCCTCTGGTCAGGACACGGCACAGCTGGGGCTCAACCAGAGGATCGCTGACATCATGTCCACCCCTCACTCATCCCATATTTACAGCTTTGTGATTTGGCCCAAGCCCAGCCACTGCTGACCGCTGACCACCAGCAGCCACACAAATGTCACCTACTCAAGGGTGACTGAGTTTGAGGAAGGAGGCTCATGGGGCCAGAGACCAAATGTGTGGGCAGTGGCCGGGACCGCCACCCTACATCCAGGACTCTCGTTGGTCCTTCTGCCCACGCCATGGGCCACTGGCCCGTCCCAGCAAGTACGGAGGCATTTTCTGTGTGGTTGAACATACAAGCTACATGTGAGAGCCTCTTGGTCCAGGCACTAGACAAATGGGCAGGGAATCATGGAAGCCTTGGGAAGTGGGAGCCCAGTCATCATCTGAGCCCAGCACTGCCCTCTCGGGCTCTGCCGGGAGCCAGGGGCTATGCCTTCCCAAGTTCTCGGACTGAGGATGGTTCTTTCTTCTGACTCCAGGGGGAAGAGTCTTGGGCCCAGCAGTTGGCTCCATTGTTCAAATCCTCTACACTCCCTCTGGGAGGCATGGAAGTGGCCCGGGCATCGCCGCCAGCCACACGGGCTGCGTCAGTTTCCCCAGTTCTGCCTCTTTCAGGCTGGGTCTCTGGGGGCAAGTTCCTTCTGCTCTCTGAGCCTCTGTTTCTTATTCCATAAGAAGGGGGTAATAATAGTACCCACCTGGTGCAGGAGTAATGAAGATTCAGTGACATAGGTAAAGCCCCTGGCACATAGTAGTGTTCAGTTAAAGAATAAAATGTGAACTTCTTGCAATAGCCCTCTGGGCAGAGGAAATGCTGGTCTGACCCCTTCATACTTACCCCTGAGTTTTACATGCCCCTGGGGCTCTCTGGCAGAGCCCACAGAGTGTGCCCTTCCCTCTTTGACTTGAACTTGGGTGAAGAAAACCCCAAACCCTTTAAATTCCACCTGCAGATTCTGCTAAAAACTACAAAGAAGGCAAAAGGGAAATAAACCAAAGAAAACCCAAAGCTCTCAGTTGGTCATGTTCACAGGGTCCTGTCCGTGACCCTCTCGGGAGACCCTGTTTCATCCTTCCCTCGACAAGGGTCCCCCACCCACCCACCAGTCCCTCGGCCCACAGTCCCCTCCCACTTGAGCAGGGAGAGTCCCAGGCAGCCCTTCCCCAGTGTGGGCACAGGGGGCTGGTGCAGGCACTCTCAGCTTCCCAGCAGTTCTCCCTCCTGCCCCGCCCCCTCTTCTGGAAGGCAGGGTGCGCCCCAGGACGCTTGGCCAGGAGGCGGGGCTCTGGCAGACCCACTCCCCATCCTTGTCCGTGACCTTTTTCTCACTTCTATCCACCATCTCTGGCCTTGTGAGCTTCCTGAGACAACAGCAGCTGCTTCCTAAACCACAGGCCAGTACCCCATTCCTGTCCCAGCCCCTCCCCTGGGGGTGGATCGCCTGAGTCTTTTGTCCTCACTGGCGCCAGGAAAGAAGGCAATGGCAGCCCCCTTTTCCTTGCCCCATGTTTAAGAGAATAGAGTGGAGGCATCTCAGTAAACAGCCCAGGGAGGGGCGGTGGGGTGGGGATGGGGGTGGGGGCTGAGTGAGGCAGGTGGGGCTTCTGTGTCCTGAACCCGTCATTCTGCAGCCCTCCCGAAGACCCCTCTGGATCTGGCTCTGCCAGTGTCTGATTCTAAAAGGGGAGGGGAAGAGGGCGCTGGGGCTGGGGAAGACCCCCGCCTGGTATCTGCACGGTCAGAGTGAGGAGAGGTGCTCTCTTGGCTTGCACCCCGGAGGGCTGGTTTCGGGGCTCACACAGATTCCCCAGAGATGGGATGCAAGCCCTCACCTGGAGGACGGTCATGGGCAAGCAGGGAGGGAGGTGCGGAGACAGGGCCCAGGAACCCCGAAGTCCAGCCGCACAGGGATCTGAGCTTGGGTGCGGCCAGCTGCCTTCCTTACCAAGTGTGAGAGGTGGACTTTCTCGTTCCTCTGTGTCTCTGAGGCCCGTTGAGCTGAAAGAGACAAGCGGGAGTACCCTGAAGCCTACAACAGCTCCCGCAGAGACGCACCGATGCCCTTGCACTTTGGAGGAGGGGCTTCCCCACTTCGAGCAGGTGGACAGGCTGCGCAGAGAAGTCCCTTTGAGCTCAGTGCCTTAGCCATGATCCAGCCTTTCGGGATCGGTCTGTGGAAAGCCCCTTGTGTGGGTCAGAAACTGGCTTGGGAAGTAATTCTATGGGCTAAGGTCATTGCTTTTAAACCGCAGGGTGCATACATTTTATGAAAAGGCCCATTCCAATGCAGCAGGTTGAGGTCAGGGTCTGAGAGTCTTTTAACAGGCTACCAGGGGAGGCCACTGCTGCTGGCTGGGGAGCACAGTTTGAGAGGCAAGGGGCTAAGAAGCTTTGAGGACTTGATCAGGAGTGCTCCCACTCGGCGTGCTCTTCCTGGCTCCTCTGCGGTGACCTGGGGACATGGGCAAAGCTGACATTTCTTCCTGGGGGCCACACAGGAAGAAGTCGGAGGAAAGCCCAGGACCCCCCCGCCCCAGGGCCACCTGCACAGGACACCATGGCTAAGTTGCAAAGTGCTTTGGCACACATCTTCCTGGCTCCATCGCTTCCTGGCTGTGCAAACCCAAGGCAGGCCGCTTAACCACCCTGCCTCAGTTTCCTCTCCTGTAAAATGGGGGCACTTGTCATAAGTCTCTAACGCCACGGTATTGAGGGCATTCAAGGGGATAAAAGCAACATACGCCACACAAAAACACCTGGCACGTGGCAGCTCCTGGACTGTTCTTTCAGCCAGCCCTCTTAAACTGTGCTGTTCACCAGAGGAGCCACGAGCCACGAAGGCCACGGCCACTGGAAGCATGACCACTATGAATTATTCCAGCTTTTGAAGGTTCCATATGAAAAAATGGAGAATGTGGAATATGGATCATTAGAATGTGTATATCAATTCCACATGGAAATGGTAACGTTTGAGAAATATCATGTTAATAAAGTATATTATCAAAATTAGCATCTCTAGTTTCTTTTTACTTTTTTTCATGTGATTATTAGAGAGGTTTAGATTTCATATGAGGCTTGTATTCTACTTCTACTGGGCCTGTATTCTATTTCTGTTGTATTCTATGTCTGTGCTCTGAAAAAACTGTGTGGCTCAGGGAAGTTAGGTGACTTGTCCAAGGTCACACAGCTAAAAAGTAGCAGAGCTGGGATTTGAAGCTGAGCCCTGAGAGGAGCTGGGCACCTCTGGAGACCCCGCGGCCGGGGTAAGGCCACCGTGTGCATCCTGGTCGAGTGCTTAGTCTCCCATCCCTCCTTCACCCCGCCCCGCCCCCCTAGCAGTCCCACGGGGAACTGGATCTGCAGAGGCGGGACATGGTTCTGCTAGGACAGTAGGGACAGAAGTGACGGATGGGTTTGGACAGATGGGGGCAAGCCAAGCGCCCCCTTTCTCCCATTCCCACATTCAAATTGCTTTTTTCCTCATGCTGACCGACCTGGGGCTCCCTCGAAGGGAAGGGCGGGGCTCCTGATGCCCATATCTCGGATGGATACGCTGACCTAGAAGGTCTCCCTGCAATGGTGGGGGGACTGCGGGTCTCAGTGGGGTCCCTGGCTCCCCCATCCCCCCTTCCCTACCTTTGCTCACCTTTCTTCCTCCAGCGGAGCAGACAGCTGCCGACGGCAGCCAGGCCGGCGGCCAGCAGAAGAGACAACAGCACGAGGACTGGGGCCAGGATGCGGGCCATTGGGATGGAGACCCTGTGGGTGAGACGCAAGGAGCCCAGCAGCTGTCACCAGGTGTCAGTGGCCTGCTCTACACCATGACGTTTTTAGTCTGCGACCCAGCCATGTCCCTTGTCTTTCCCGAGGAGATCGGAGGGCACCGGGGACCATAGAGTCTGGTCCCAGTAAAAGGGACCCCGCCCCCACTACCAATCCCACTTTCAGCTGGGTCCGGCCTTGGCAGTAGTCAGGCAGGAAGCCTCGGTCAGTAACTGGATGCAATCATATATGACCCCCAAGACCCAGTCCTTCAGCCTGGGACTCCAGTCGGGTGAGAAAAAAAATGGGGGGGTTCCATAGTTTCATGCTTGGCCCAGTGCAAAGTACACAAGCAAAACTGGGGCGCTGCCCTTTACACTGGGGCAGGGAGAGAGGAGGGGACTGCGGCCACGGTGGACCCTTCACCTGGGGCGGGGGAGCTGTGTGTCCACAGAATCAGGGCTGCTGGGTCAGCTGTGTAGGTTATTCACTGCTCAAGGGCCCTGCTGAGGGGCATGGGGGTGGCGTCTGCCGTGACAGGAGGCTGTGTTCGCCTGGAGGAGGGAGTGCTAGGTCCTCACTTGCTCAAAAGCACCTTATGCTTTGGGGATGGCCTGAAAGGTGACCTTGGTCACTGGGGCTCACCTAGACACGGAGCTGCCGCCGCTGTTGCTGGGGGCCAGACGGGTGTCCTCCACCGCGGTGGGGTTGGGCTGTGTGGACGGGCGGGAGGTCCCTGCATGAGGAGAGGTTGCTTCGTGAGGAGAGGTGCCCGCATGTGGAGAGGTTCCTGTGTCTGGGGCGGTTCCTGCGCGCCCGGACTGGGAGGCTTCTGTGGACGGAGGGGCCCCTGTGGACGGGGAGGCTCCTGTGGACGGAGGGGCCCCTGTGGACGGAGCGGCCTCAGCCCCTGTCTTCCCCTTCTTGGCTGTGGTGACTGTTTGGTGGAGACGAGGAGAAGCTACAAGTCCAAAAGCAGCGCCTCAGCACCTTCTTTGAGCCTGGAATCCCAGCCGTTCCCAGACCTCTGACCCTTGACCCCAGGACCCGGGACCAACTTCTCAGAACACCCCCAGCGACAGGAAACCCGGAAGCAAGCAAACCGCCCCTGCGCATGGGTTTCAGCCCCTTTTGGTGCCTGTGTGATCACAGCCCGCGCCCCCGCCCCATGACCTATGCGATAACCACTCAGTACACAGGCGACCTCCCGCCGCCCCCCTACAGTCCTGGCCAGTTATCACCTCTGCCCTCACCTCATGTCACCATCACACCTCACCACCTATGCCTCAGTAGGCCTTGACCTTCAACAGCCACAGGGTCAACAGGGCAGGAGGGCGGGGACAGGTGCAGAGGCCAGGGCCCAAGGCCCTTCCTTTCCTGCTCACTCCTCCAACCCCGGGGGGAGCAGACAGAACACAAAGCTGGTGGTTGGGGTCAGGCTGCTTCTGGGTGAACTAACCCCACTGAGTCCCTGATTCCTCCCATGATGGGTACCGGCTCCCAGGCTCTGGGGCCACGAAGGGCGGGGTCTGGCACCAGATCAGGCACTCACGGGGTGTTTCTTTATAGAGGAATGGAGGAGAGACAGAAAACCCATTCACTCACTCAATTCTGGGGGCTGAGTTTGCCAAGCTTTTGCCTGGGGCTGGAGGCTCCTTGTAGCAAGAGGCTGGAAGGAGGGAGTGGGGGAGGGAGGGCAGCAGGGACCTAGGGAGAGGGAGAGGGAGGCTGGTCTCAGCAGAGGCAAGGATCACTGCTCCCAGTGTGGCTGCAGCCAGCGGCTTTCCCACCCCCACCTCTGTGTGGAGCACTGCCCATCTCCCCTCTGCCGCTCGGGAGCACGGATGATAGATTTGAGTTGACTGCAGCCCTCCCACTTAGCTCAGACCCTCGGCTTCCCTTGTCCCCAGCTGCCCACCAGCGTGCCCTTTCCACGCCACTCTTTATGCCAATACTGGTTTTGCCTCTAAAATATATACTGGACCTCATCCCTTCTTGCTTCAGAGCAGGTAATGGCCCCTCGTTGCCTAGAAGCTGGAGCTCAAGCTTTGTAACATGCCTTTAGGAGCCTTTAAACCCCAGACCTTGGCGCGCGCCTGGGTGGCTCCGTCGGTTGATCGGTTGACCAGGTGACTGGCTGATTGGCTGACTTCGGCTCAGGTCATGATCTCATGGTTCAAGAGTTCTAGCCCCACATTGGGCTCTCTGCGGTCAGCACAGAGCCTGCTTCAGATCCTCTGTCCCCTTCTCGCTCTGCCTCTCCCCTGCTTGTGCTCGTTCTCAAAAAAATAAACAAACAGGGGCGCCTGGATGGCTCAGTCGGTTGAGCATCCGGTTCAGCTCAGGTCATGATCTCAGGGTTTGTGGGTTTGAGCCCCATGTCAGGCTCTGTCCTGGCAGCTCAGAGCCTGGAGCCTGCTTCAGGTTCTGTGTCTCCCTTTCTCTCTGCCCCTCCCCTGCTCATGCTCTGTCTTTCTCTCTCTCAAAAAAAAAAATTTAAAAATTAAAAAAAAATTATAAAATAAATAAGTAATAAACATTAAAACTCAGACTGCCGCTCACTATGTTGGCTTTACTTCTTCACCATCTGGTGCACCAGCCACACCGCTATTTGCCCTCCATTCCCAATTAAGTGAGCGTCCTGCCCGCCTCTGTGTGACATGATGTTCCCGTGTATCCCCTGCCTCTCCTCTCCACCTCGGCTTAAACCACTCTCTTCCTGTCCTCAACTCCTCCACCACGCCTTCCCCAGAAGGGGCAAGTCCCTTCTCCTGTGTAGCCACAGTGTCCTGTGCCCGCCGCCGGCCGGGCTCGCGCTCAGTTATGTTGCAACATGTTTACTGGGACTCCCTGCGAGGCTGGGGCCCCTCAAGAACAAACTGCCTTAGGGGCGCCCGGGTGGCTTAGTCGGTTGAGCGTCCGACTTTCGCTCAGGTCATGATCTCGCGGTTCGTGGGTTCGGGCCCCGCGTCGGGCTCTGTGCTGGCTGCCAGCTCAGAGCCTGGAGCCTGTTTCTGAGTCTGTTTCTCCCTCTCTCTCTGACCCTCCCCTGCTCATGCTGTCTCTCTCTCTCTATCCTAGAAATAAATAAAAAAAAAAAAAAAAAAAAAGAACAAACTGCCTTAGCCTCTGCCAGCATAGCGGGCAGAAATGCGGTGTGGCCGATCCCCCAGGAGCTGCCCAGCTCCCTGACTCCCCAGTGCCCTTTGTGCTGGAATGCCATTCTGGTCTCGCTCCCTTTCCCCGCCATTCTCTATTCTAACATAAGGTCAAGCTTTCTCCGATCTTCCACAAATAGAGACTATTTATCTTTTCCTTTCCAGTATTTATACTTCTTTATCTTGTCATATTTCATTGCCTAGAGCCTCCAGGCAATAGTGAAAAAAAGAAATGAGCGGGAGGGTTACCTGGGTGGCTCAGTCAGATAAGCGTCCGAGTTCAGCTCAGGTTATGATCTCGCAGTTCATGGGTTCGAGCCCCACATAGGGCTCTGTGCTGACAGCTCAGAGCCTGGAGCCTGCTTCGGATTCTGTGTCTCCCTCTCTCTCTGCCCCTCCCCCACACATGCTGTTCCTCTCTCTCTCTCAAAAACAAATAAACATAAAAAATTAAAAAAAAAATAGAAATGATTGGGGGGTTCTTGTCTTGTTCTGACCTTTCTAGAAATTCTAATCTTTTAGCATACTCAGTGGTGTGCTGGAGACGGCTTGGCGCCCCAACTCGGGAGAGCAGATTGTCCACTCTTCAGAAATTTTGTGAGCTGGTTGCTAAACTATTGGTAGGTGGAAACTGGCAAGGTCAGGGGCTTTTAAACAACAGAAACTGGCAAACATTGCAAATCAGAGCTTCTCCGCCCAGCTGTCAAACATTCACCAGCATGCCACTGCCATTAAACGTTATTTTCTGTAACCCAAATGTTATCAGAGAAAGGTCAACAACGTCTGACCCCAGCTAACATAATAATGCATACATCACACACAAATGAATATTTACAAATGAGGTAAAAACTGAAACTAGAGAGCCCAAGTACAGAGGAAATTGACCCCCACCAGGGAAGAATGCGGTTTGAACACTGAGGAAAATCAGAAGAAATCAGAGAATCTTTTCAGTCATGGAGAACAGGTGTCTCCTCTTTCCACCACTTCCTGCCATGAGACCTCCCGCAAATCATCCTGTCTTTGGAGCCTCACCCCCTATCCCCGATCTGTCCAACAGGATGCAAAGACCTGCCTCAGCCTCACTAGCCAGCAGATGGTGGGCTGCCCACCTGGGCCCTCTCTGGCTTCTTTCTTCTCAGCTCGGCAGGCTCAGGTAGGATTCTGGGCATCCAGACAGATGCCCCATCCCCAGCCAGAGCCCCACGACTCCAGCTTCAGTCCCCTAGCATCCCTGAGCTCAACAAGCCCCTCCAACGCCAGTTCCTAGGCCCTTCTCACACTTGACTTTGGGACTTCAAGATCTGGGGAAGTGAAGGAAAAAGGGAAGCCACGGGGCGCCTGGGTGGCTCAGTCGGTTAAGCGTTCGACTTCAGCTCAGGTCATGATCTCACGATTCGTGGGTTCAAGCCCCGTGTCAGGCTCTGCTGACAGCCAGCTCAGAGCAGGGAGCCTGTTTCAGATTCTGTGTCTCCCTCTCTCTCTGACCCTCCCCTGCTCACACTGTCTCTCTCCCTCTCAGAAATAAATAAAACATTAAAAAAAAAAAAAAAAAAAGAAGGGAAAGCCACAAGCAGGGCGAGGCCAACGTGGCCATGGCTTCCACAGTGCCGTGGAGTGAGTCTGGGGCGCGCGATGGCAGGCCCCATCTGCAGAATCTGCAGGAATATCTCAGACTCTGAGAAAGAAGGCTTTTTTATTCCATGGGATGTCCACCTTGTCCCCAGCCCATGGCAGCCTCTCTGCTACCTCCAGGCAAAGAGGAAAGGCACTGAGCATGGAGTTTGGCGGATCTGCGTGGTGTGACCTTGTGAAAGAGTGGCTGAGGCTCATGCCGAACCCCCCTGTGCTCTGCTGGGCACTGAGCTCTTGACCTGTGTCACCTCACTGAGTCCTTGAGAACTGCCCCCTCCCCCGCCCTGATGAGGTTAGTGCGAGCACTACCCCCTTGGGTGGCGGGGAACCGTGTCCAGGTCCAGCACCGAATCAGCTCCCCTCCCCCATCCCTCTTCCCCTCCACGTCACCTGTGCCCCATCCGGGGAAGGAGAGACATTTGTTACCTGGAAAGACAAGCAGAGAGACCAGGAAAGACTCATCTCGGCCCAGTTTTGAGACCCCACAGAAGTACTTCCCGGTGTCCTTCAGGGTGAGATTCCTTAGGGTCACTTTGAGTGTGAGCTCCTGGGGGTTGTCTTCGAGGGACACCCTGCCCTCTGTCGTCTCCCGGCTGTCTTCCCCCACGTAGACGGTGCTGGAGCAGCGTGAGATGAGGAATCCAGTCTTTCTGCACCAGTATTTCTTGTGGGTCGTCAGCTCCTCCCCGTAGGTGCACTGCACGGACACGGTGTCACCTTCAAACCCGCTGACCTCCTTGGGGCCCACCAGTGCTCCACATCCTGTAACCAGAGCAGGGATGGAGGTCGAATTCCTTGGATTCAAGTACCAGGGTCAAGAGCAAAAGACACCTCCTCTCTCACTCCCTTCTGCGGCTGCCCTCTAAAAGCTAGTAGTCCCTTCCCCGCCAAGGGATATTAGGACAGGGCTCTTGCTGGGCCCCTAAACTGGGGATATTGAAGGGTGGTGAGGGGAAAATTCTAGATTCGCACGGCCCAGAGTTTGACTCCCCGCACTGGCACTTAGTAGCTGTGTGACCTTGGAAAAGTTGCTTGACCTCCCTGGCCATCTGGGTTTTCTCATTTATAGTTGCTGATGATGATACTGTCCTATTTCATTGACATAAAGATGCTATCGTATGGAAGACACAACTTTATTTTATTTTATTATTATTATTGTTAATGTTTGTTTATTTTTGAGAGAGAGAGAGAGACAGAGCATGAATGAGGGAGGGGCACAGAGAGCGGGAGACACAGAATCTGAAGCAGGCTCGAGGCACCGAGCTGCCAGCACAGAGCCTGACGCGGGGATTGAACTCACAAACCGTGAGATCATGACCTGAACCGGTTGGACGCCTAACTAACTGAGCCACCCAGGCGCCCGTAATTTTACACACCCTAAGAAAAAGCATTGTCACTCGAATAATTGTCATCAGGGGCAAGATGCATCTTGAGATTTGATGTTAAAAAGTTAAAAAAAGGGGGGGGGGCTGTGAACTGATGAAACAGGATACTTGTTTCTCGCTCAGGGTTGGGCCCAGTGGTACAGTAGAGGCTCTAGACATATTCTCAGAGTTTTCCATGGCAACCTCATAGGGGGCACCTCGTCTGCCTCCGGGCTGAGCGAAGTAAAGCCTGCCTTACGGCCACCTGACCATGAAGGGTTTGGAATGGTAGGTTTGGGAGAAAACCTGGCTCTAAGAACCAGCAAGCGCCCCCACCCCTCCTTTTGGGGAGCTGAGGGCCAGTGGGGTGGAGTAAAGCCCTTAAGGACCAGGCGGCTTGGCTGGGTCACAAAAAGGGAAGGTTGGAGCGGGAGGTCCTCTTTCTGGCAGCTTGGGCACCAGCCCCATGTCCCTCCACCATACTCCCCTCCCCGGCCCTCTGCTCACCTGGGAACAAGAGGCAGCCCCATAGCAGCACGAGGGGCCACATGGTGGGCGCTGGACGTGCACGACCACACTCGGGAACTGGGAGCACCTCTCCGGGCCACGCAGGCCTTTAACTTCCTCCAGAGGCATGAGATCAGGACACGGAAGGAGGGGGGAGGAGCCGTGCGGGTCGCCCCTCCGCGCACAGAAGGAGGCACCTCTGCCATTCCCTTTACTGATCCTCCATGCGCGTTCCTCCCACTCCTGAGCCCACCGAGCGCTTCTCCCAAACCCTCTTCCAGGGAGTCTTCATCAAGCCCACCGCCGTGCACCCCAGAAGGTCTGAGTGTAGAGTTCAGGGAGTCCAAGAATTTGGATGGGAAAAAACTGCATATTGACTTTTACGAACCTTTAAGGCATTTATCTTTTCCTTCCATTGTGAGTGTTATCAGTGCCTGTGACTTTGTCACCAAAAATAAACAAAAAAATAAAAAAGCAGACAATAGAGCAACATCAAGTTGTCGCCGATAGCTCGAAATATCGTATGTGCCCCTCAGTACTTGGAAAATAATTAGTTACCAGGCCTGCCACTAGAGCTGCTTTTTGAAAGCGCTAATAAAACACATTTATTTCTGTATTACAAAATTATAAATATTTTGATAATCATTTTAATATTATTGGCTTTCTTTTAGGCCTATGTATATAATCTTATATGTTTAAAGGACGATTATTCCGAGAGGAGGTCCATAGGCTTTACTAGACTAAGTGGTCAAGAGTACTGAGGTTAGGGGCCCTGGCGTGCCGTGCCCACCGCCCCTCCCTCTGCATCGCCTCCCGAGGACGCAGTACCGCCTTTGGCCACCGGACGGCGCTGAAAAAGGGACTGAGAGAAGCAGAAGGACAAGGGAGCCGCACGATGCCTGGAGCCACCCGCAGACAGCTCTGTGAGGCGGGTCTCCCCGTCCGCGTTAAGTTGTCTAGGCATTGAAAAAAGTGAATTAGCAATGTCTCATCACAGAACTGAATCTGCCTTTAAAGGTGCAAGAACAAACACGCCCACTAGAGGGAGCCCTGACACATCGTTTTCCAAGATCGCTTTGTCGGAGGTTTCTAGATGGCTGAGTTCCTACTGGTTGCAAGCAAAATTTTACGCAACTCAGAAAGGTTAAGTACAATAGAAAACAATGGGAATGTTTCCTGTAATTCCTCTTTCCTCTGGAAAACGATGGTGATGTTAACATTTGCCACATGTACAGTTGGAATTTTTCTCACTTGGTGGGTTAATATTTGAAGCATTAAGTCAGTGGGTCAAGGAACGGTGTGTGTGCGTGTGTGTGTGTGTGTGTGTGTGTGAGGTTCTGGCAATGTGGGGAGACGTGTCTTAATTTCACAGTGACTAGGAGGCACTGCTGGCATTGAATGGGCAGGGACCTACAGACCTGACTCCTATCACATGTACACATTACAAAAGGTAATCAATTTTTGCAGTTTTAAAAACACAGACTGGGGCGTGTGGGTGGCTCAGTCCATTAAGTGTTGGACTCTTGATTTCGACTCAGGTCATGATCTCAGGGTTCTTGGGTTAAAGCCCCACCTCAGAGCCTATCTGGGATTCTCTCTCTCTCTCTCCCTCTCTCTCTGTTCCTCCCCTGCTCTCTCTCAAAATAAATAAATAAAATAAAAACACAGGTTAAAATAACATTTATTTTAGCCTTTGATCATTGTCTCTTTCTTGTTTTTGTCCTTATATAGAATACATTCTGATCTTACTTTTCTTAAATCCTAACTTATTTATTATAAGCAGGGGCAAGCATCTGACACTTTATTATGTTTTCTAGTGTCATGGGGCCTGAGCACTGACATTTCAAAATATGTGTTATGTGGTTACAAATTATTTTCCTTTTCTTCCCCCCCCCACATTCCAGTACAGATACGGTATTATGATTTTTAAAAATTAAGTATATGAGGAGGCGTACTATTTATGGTTGTCGTTTATGGAGAAGAAACGAAGTACTAACAAAAATTTTATTGTTATAAAGATGGTGTTCCAACTGTACATGAGGCGCCTGGGTGGCTTAGTCGGTTAAGTGTCCGACTTTCGCTTAGGTCATGATCTCGCGGTTCGTGGGTTCGAGCCCCGCTTCGGGCTCTGTGCTGACAGCCAGCTCAGAGGCTGGAGCCTGTTTCAGTCTGTGACTCCCTCTCTCTCTGACCCTCCCCTGCTCACGCTGTCTCTCTCTCTCTCTCTCTCTCCTAGAAATAAAAAAAGAAAAGAAAAGAAATAGATCCTCAGGCCCAAAAGTAGTGCTTGGGGTGGGAGAAGGGACTAGAGGGAAGCATCGTGTGGGCCCTGAAGCTGGGCCTGTCCCAATGGGGTATGTGAGGAGCAACGGATAGAAGTCCCCGGTGGGTCTGGAGATCTGAGAGGCAAGCACACCTGTGTCCTGCTTCCTACCTACAGTCCTGGGAGGTGCCCACCATCATAGGATGGGAGAGCAGTGGGCAAGAGGGGCCCCGGATCTGCAACCCTGCGGCAGCCTTATCACATCCTCATGACATCCATGAGCCTGGAGGTTCCCGTGACTGGGATGATGGGGTGGGTGGCAGACCCAGGGAGGAAGGAACAGCCACACCAGAGACCCCGGGGAGTGGAGAGCCCAGCGGATGCTGGCACAGGCAGATAATGGCCAAGGCTGCCCCCTACTTTGCTGGGTCCTGATAGTAATTAACGACCTCCAGGACTTAGAACCACCTTAGGGAGAAAGGAGAATGAGGGACATACTCTCAAGTTCACTCTGAACCATCTGAGAAAACCTGCATTGAAATAGGAGTCCCAGCTGTGGGACAGAGCTTAGGGTGGCTTGTGAGCAGCGCAGACAACCTCTGGCCAGAAAAGAGCCCGCTTGACAGTCATCCGGATCTGGTGCCCATCTGGACTGGATGTAACTGGCCTAAGCCACTTCCGCTGATCTAAGACGGTGATTTGTTCTTCTTAGATCAGGGCTTCTCAACATCAGTACTATTGACATTTTGGACTAGATAATTCTATGTCATGAGGGGCTGTCCTATGCATTAGAGGATGTTTAGCATCATATCTGGCATCTACCTACTAGCTGCCGGTAGTGTCTTCCCTGCCCCAGAAGCCCTGACAATCAAAAATGTCTCTAGACATTGTCAAAATGCCCCCCGGGAGGCAAAACTACTCTAGGTGGAGAGCCACTGCCTTGGAGGATGACTGATTCTATGAAAAAAAAAAAAAAAAAAGTGAGGGGCGCCTGGGCGGCTCAGGTGGTTAAGCGTCCTACTTCGGCTCGGGTCATGATCTCACAGGTCATGAATTTGAACCCCTTGTCGGGCTCTAGGCTGACAGCTCAGAGCCTGGAGCCTGCTTCGGATTCTGTCTCCCTCTCTCTCTGCCCTTCACCCATTCATTCTCTCTCTCTCTCTCTCTCTCAAAAATAATAAATAAAACTGTTAAAAATTTAAAAAAAGAACATAAGAAGAAAATTCTTTTTTAAAATGTTTATTTTTGAGAGAGAGACAGAGACAGACAGAATGTGAGTAAGGGAGGGGCAGATTGAGAGGAGGAGACACAGAATCCAAAGCAGGTACCAGGCTCGAGTTGTCAGCACAGAACCCGACACGGGGCTCGAACTCACGGACCATGAGATCATGAGCTGAGTCAAAGTCAGTCACTTAACTAACTGAGCCCAGGTGCCCCCGAGAGGAAATTCTTAAAAAAAAAAAAAATGTGTAAGTTGTGTTCATACAGGTGCACACACAAGGCTTTGGATAGAGCAGCATGGGCTTCCTCATCTGAACCCCAGAATTAGGCAGGCTCTCTGCAGTCACAGGCAGTGCTAGAAAACTGCAGACCTCCTCCCACAGCGGGGCTGCGGCCATCCCTGTTGCACCCTAGCTGTGGAGTGGCTGCGCCTAATGCACCCTCGGCAGGCGAGCCAGCTCCCAGGAGAAAGAGAAGGAAAGCAGGCTGGCTGAAATACGCCTTGTTTCTCTTTCCAAACTCATCCATCAAATAAATAAAGGCCTGGAGAGGGACTGAGGGTGTTATACCCGTGGGGCTCTCTCCTCTCAGAAGGATGGACACATCGGGAAGAAGCATCCCCAACAAAGAGAGATGAGCCACAGGCTGGAAAAAACCTGCATCCCTGAATCACCGCTTGGAAGAAAGCTGCCCCGAGTTTCCAAGCCTGCAGCAGACTCAGGGTGAGCAGGAGACAGGCTTTGATGCATTTGGCCAGGGAGCTCTTACAGTTAGTTAGTTTGTTGCTATGTCCTAGCCTAAACCATCACAAAGTTTGCTTCCTCACACACAGCCCCCTACCTGCGGCTCCCCTATCCCCAGCCAGTTGCAAATTGAAGTTTTCAATCTCCTCCCCTGAAACAAGTCTGAAAACTTCCTTCATGATTTTTATGTTGACTGTGTTAAGGGCTTTCGACTTCCAGGGGGTGATCTCGAAATGATGGGGGAGGGCAGCAAAGCACCCGAGGTGATTAGGGCCACCCTCCCCCAGAAGCTGGATGAAACAGACATAGGTTTTAAAGTCTCAAAACCCTTGGAAAGTTAAGCGCAGTAGTGTGGTAACTTGGATTGGATCCCAGAATAGAGAAAGGATATTAGTGGAAAAAGGTAGTGAAATGGTAATAGAATCTAGTGTGTCCTTAATAGTAATGTGCTGTGTTAATTGCTTCGTTGTGACAAATGTAGCAGGTTACGTAAGATGTAACCATTAGGGGAGACAAATGAGGGATATCCAGGCAGTTTCCGGACTATCTTTGCAAGTTTTCTGTAGTCTAAAATTATTTCACTATATAAGCGTTTGTTTGTTTGTTTATTTGTTTTTAAAAGCAAGCAGTGACGGGCTAATAAGAGTGTGAGGGGTTACTATGCCAAGGCCTAGGCACCCAGAAATAAGGGCTCAGTGTGCAAGGTGCTTTTGTCCTTAAGAGTATGTACTGATTCAGAAGAAGCAGCTAAGGGGATGAGCTAGGAGACTGTGGCCCTCTCTCTCAATATATACACACCAGATTCCACCCCCCTTA